AGAATCCCAGTTTCCTTTCTCAGCATGCTGTTCCAAGAAACGCAAAGTGTTGCAGCAGCTCACAGTGCACAAAGGGAGAATTCCTGTTCCTTGTGCCACCCTCTCCCTGGCTGTGTGTGTCCACCTCTTTGCAGCAGCTCTGGGTGCTCACCAGACCCTTAATGTGAGCCCATTTAATGCGTTAAAATGATAGAAGATTGTGCCAGCAATACAGTTTCCTTGCAGGAGAACTACTGAAGTTGGCTTGTGGAAGGGTCAGATACATAGGAGAGCAGGTTGGGGAGGACACAGTGCAGCTTGGCCCAGGGAAGCGACAACAAGCTGTTGGCCTCTTAGCTGTGCAGACCGTCCTTCCACCTCTGACCATGTACTGATCTGCTCCTTTTCTAGAGGCAGGCCTGTGCCCCTGGCCCTCCATCACGTAGGTGCCCTCTCCATTCAGCCCCTGTGCTCGCCAGAAAGCGCGTGTGAAGGGAGAAGAGATGCAGAGCAACCATTTAGGGGGAACTCCACTTTCACCCTTGCAGCCCTCAGGTAGAGGGAAGGCGCACCTTGGCCAGGTGCGTTAGGAGCAGCTGGAGGCTCGGCTGCGCTTCAAGACGGCTGGACTCCTGTACGCCTCCCTGCGGGTGCTGTGCAGCCATAGCCAGAGACTAGATTGTCACTGAAAGAGTTTTAGAGGTGTCTGTGTGCCTGTGCTACTGATCTGCTGAAAAATAACCCCAAAGGTACTAGTCCCTCTCGGGCTTGGCCCCCGCTCTCATACCTGAAATGACTGTGTGAAGAGTGGCACTGGTCCGAACGATGTGGGAGCCTGCAGTGGGGAGGAAGCTGCAATTGCTCCTCCTCCGTTGCAGCGCAGTCCTGTGCTGATTCAAAGTGCCTCCGTAACCGGAGCTTTAGATGGGATGAGTTAAAATTGCTGAAGTCTCTCTGAGCCCGTTTGTTTTGTCGTCCTTTATCTACTGTTTCCAAAGCCTAATTCTGGGCAGATTGCTTGTGTAGTGGTGGTGAAAAGAGCAACCCTGGAAAAAAGTTGTGTTCCTTACAAATTTCAAGTCTGTGCTAAAATAACAAGGAAATTAAATTCTTCAAATAAACATTTGCCAGAATTTTTATATAGAGAGGGTATGCATTTTTCCCAGCCGTTGCTCTTGGAAAGAGCTCAGCACACATTTTTTTTACTGAGCGTTGGGCAGACAGTAGGTAAAAATGTAAGGCCGAGCAGTTAGTTGCAAGCTGTACGGAAGCAAACTTTTTATAATGGGAAGTAGTAGACAGGTCTAATAACAGGTAATACTGTTAGACCTAATTGTAACAATTAAAATAGCTAGCAAGCAGCCTTTTTTTTTTTTTCCCTTAACTTTTAAATTACCAACTTAGTCTCAATTTTATTAAAAGATCACCAAATATTTTTAGTTTGGATCCTCATAGGTTGTGTAAAGTAGGATTTTAAACTAAACTTCTACGTGCAGCCCAATTGGAGAAAAAATAAGTTAGACACTGAATGTCTTATACCTTTTCATGGTAATGCAGTGGTTTCAATTGCAGGGAGAAAAACGGATTTGTCTATTTGAGATACCAGAAAGAATAAGTGAATTAAAAAGTAGAGGTTTAGTACACAAGATCTAAATGCAACCTGCACATATGTTAAATGACAGAAAAGGGTATAATAATTTCTTAATTGTACTAGCAAACACATAATCAAGAGGTGTTTTTTTTAAAGATAAAGTATTAGACCATAAACTTCTACAGAATGACTTCTAGATGTTATTTTTCACTCCTCATTAATGTATTTGAAGTAGATTATCTGCAATTATAGTTTACTCTTGGATGAGGTAAAGGGGACTTGTACTAATGCTCTTTTTTAATAGCCTTAAACACTCATATAAAAACGGTAACCTGTGAACAGCAGGAGTGAATGAGCTTACTGCGTTTAGCCTTGAGAGGAAGCATTGTTAGGAAGTCTGAAAACATTCCAGTGCTGAGATTATCGGGGAGTTGTTATCCACTCCTCAGTCACTCGTTGCCTAGGAGACAAATGTAATCCAAGGATTTTTTTCCTTCCTTTCTGTTTTTTGATTGGAGACACTATTGACTTCTGGCTTGGAGGAGCTAGTGGAGCAGCACGCCAAGTGTCATAAGATGGAAATTAATCACTAACTGATTGCTCTGAGTTCCAGTGATTTCCTTTCTTATGGTTACTCTCTATATGGGAAGACTAATGATGCATCTAAACAGGCAGTTATGAAGCTCTTCGCACCTATGACTGTCAGGAAGGATTCTTAACTAGATGACAGTTCAGTTTTCTTTTTATTCTGCTCTGTTGTGTGAATGTGGAAGAAGAAAAATAAATCCCTTAAAAAAGGAACTTTGCATGCTTGGAGAGCTTTGGGTTAAATTATATTTGTTGTTGCTGCTAAATTACAAGTCAGCTCAATTGCAGTGAAAATATGGCAAATCTGCCTTCTCATTATTTCCTTTAATAAGGAGTATAATTCTCCTCAGTGCTTTGTGTGTGAGAGAGTTTCTGTTTGTCAGTGAGATTGTTTTTGGCTTTCATGGGAACATCAGCAAGCTAAACAAATTTAACTTAACAGTAATAGAAGTTTTGAAGCTGGTCTTCAGTAGTGACCTCATCCTGTAAGCCTCTCAACTTCTACTAACTTTGAAGGGTTTTGGGGGGCTAATGTCTTCCAGGTAGATGAACTTTCTGTCTTGGATGCAAATGAAAAAAAATGAAGCTTGGAAAACAGCATGTTGTGTTCAAGCAAGTCCAAATAAGATAGCTAGTATTTAAATGCAGCATTTTTAAATGCTTATCCCATGCTGTAAAGAGTAAGGAATCCAGCAAAGGTTTTCTTCTAAAAATGTTCCCAGTTTTGCACGTTGCTCGCTTAAAATGAACTTTTGTGTTCTTGCTCTGTCTAGTGGATGGGGCATGGAAGTGGAATTTGAGAAGCCTGGATTCTATTTTTGACTCTGTCCTTTGCCTAAAAAGTCACTTTTACTGGGCTTATCACGTTAACTTTTTGGCTTATTGTCCCATATGTAAAGGAGGGGATAAACATAATAATCTCCTTTTTGCAAACTGGCTTGAGATACATAGCGCACAGCTTGCATCACTGATACCAGAAACGGATGTTTCAGTCATCTGCTGTAGTGCTTTACGTATACCAAAGTCCAAGAGTCTTAGCCTTCAGCTTATCTGGCTGCCCTAACAGCTAAGCTCAAGTCAGGTCTCTGTTGCTTGCTATCTCTCTAGCCCCTTGAATTGTGGACTTTTTGGACATACAAGGGCCCACCTTCGACTCCAGAGCTGCAGGATGTCTGTCTCTCTGACTGTTGTGTGGCCTCCTGGTTACATTGCCCTTACGAAACAAGAGGAGAAATGGGGTTGAACCCTGCCCAATGGAAGAGACTTGAATTCGGTGTCTAATATGCAGAAGAGGGTTCCTTTTTCATCCTTCCAGCAGATGTGTTTTGAATGAATGCAGTCGTGGCTCCTGTGGGCTGGGCCAGCCCCTCTCCTTTTCCTTCAAGCACAGTCTCACACTGTGCTGTGAACTTGCTAGATACTCCCACATATGAATCCAATGACATTGAGGAAGATTTTTTTTTTTTCTTTTTGGAAGAATCTGATGCAGGTTTGAAGTCTGTAAGCTTGGAGGGAGGTTTGTAAGCACCTTGCATGTGGCACTATGTACCATAAAGCTGCCTGTAGAACAAAGCAGCGCTTAGGAGTTGATGGGGTTCCCCAAAGATGACAAGTTTTTGAAAGGAAGCAAGTGTCGTGTTTTGTTCTTCCTTGTGGCATTCGAAAATAATCTCCTACTTCTAGTGTGATTTTTGTGTTTGTTTTTCAACGCACTAAGCGGAGGGCCTATTTCCACCAGTACAAATCCTGAGGTCTGGAAAGGGATGGCCTTGGGTTGAAAAGTGGCTAGAGGCTATGGTACAGCCTTCCCCCTTCCCCCACCTCTTCCAGAAAATGTCAATGTTTACCAAAAATCTTATCATAATGCCCTGAGAGCCTGCCAGTGGAGTTCAGTCAATAATTAGGACTGGTGTTTGTTTCTACATATTCTCGACCAGACCAAGGCTGTTCCTGAGCTATCATTTTGTATGCTTTCATAACGGAGCCAAGGGAAAGTTGTTTTTCTGTTTGTTTGAGAACTCACAGAAAACAATTCAAAATATCTGCGCTCTGACCTCTGAGGGGATTGAGGCAAGAATGGAAATGGCACTGCTCAGAATTGTAGAAGAAATGCTAAATTTCAGCGTCGTCTTCCCATTACTGATTGACTGCTTGAGTTGCTCAGTGCGTCCGGAAGGGGTAATTACAGTAACTGTTGGTTTAACCAATCACAATTTCACAACACCCTTAAATGGTTTATACACTGATTTTACTGTTTTTTTTCTTTTGTTTTGAGTTTTTTGGTTATTTTTTTTCCACTTAGGGGAGAAAAGATGATTAATTTCCTCTGTAGTATAATGGCACTGATGTCATGTGGATGAAGGATTAAGTCCTTTTATTTTTAAAACAGTTGCTAGGGTGTTTAAACCCCTCCTTTTTAGCCCTGTTTCTTGTTAGTGTAACAGTAAAAGGAAAAGAAAATCACTTTCAGAAAGAATCTACTTCTCTTCAAAGTTTCCGTTTAAGAGTAACTGCAACTTCTTATTTTTCCAATATGGGATGATGGGGAAATTACCAGCTATTACTAAATCAAATTAACTAGTAATGAGAGAGGGAAAAAAAGGCAATCAAACATTCACTCTTTTTTTTTTTTTTCTTTTTTCCTGAAAGCGTGATTTTAATCATACGATTGCAATACGTTGTTACTGGAGCAATAATCTCTCACAAACAAACTATGTTCACTTCTGTCAAACAGACAAAAAACCCAAACCCACTGCTTTTCCTGACAAATACTGCTAAATAAATAAGGCTATGCCATTAGATCAAATATTTGATTTTTTTTTTAATTCTTTTTTCTTTGCAGAGTATTGGAAAGGGGTCCTTGTGGTGTATAGACCCAGAATATAGACAAAATCTTATTCAGGCTTTGAAAAAGACACCCTATCACCCATATTCGCATGTGTTCAATACACCTCCCACATCTCCTCAGGCATATCAAAGGTAAGAACTAGATGCATTTTACAACTCTAAATGTTTTCATCCAGTATTGCATATGAAGCTTGGGTAAGACATTAAATGTAATAAAATTATACAGTATGAAAAATGTGCTAGTGAACAAAACATGGGGAGTGTTAATGGTCAGTCTTTTTGCTTACTTAGCCTGCAGGACACCTTACCTTCCTGATCTCTTCTGCTGCGGCAAAGCGTCTTCTCCTCGCTCCCCCGGTCTGAGCTTGCAGTCTTTCTCGCAAATACATTGCCCGACCTTTTAGCAGAGAGTACCTGAAATTGAAATGCATGCAAGCAAGCAGAGAGCCTTAAAATGTCTGCTTGTCCTGTTGTTAGCAGATGGAAGCCCAGGACCCTCACGAGGAGGGTACCAGTTAATTTTTTTTCTTCCAAGCTTGTTATTTGGCCTGTGTTCCCAGTGCAACTGTCAGATCTCCATGTAAATCCTGCATCTAGGCGATTGAAAACATGTTTTGTTGTAGTTACGTGCTGTGCAGAGGAGTGCGAGCACTTGAGCTTATCCCAGAGGTGTGTAGTGGAGAACAATCAAGTTTTATTTTTTGCTTCAGTGAAATAGGTGTGTTTGTTTTGTTTTGTTTTCCATTTGTTTTTAATCTGGCCATTGCTTATGACTAACATTAGTGGAAGGAGTGTTACACAGAGAGGTAATCTAAAGATTGTGACCTGCTGAGCAGAGAAGCAAATATCAGGTCTTTACACAACTGCTTTCTGCTTGCTGCTAATATGGAAATTACTTTCTTCACCTTTTCCAAGTGTGCTAGCACCTCGTGGCGCGATCAGAGATGCCTTTCATCTCTGCAGCTTAGCTTTGTGCCGCACCCCGTAAAACCGAGGAGGTGTCTTCATCCCCCTGCAGCAGGATGCCAGCTACCAGCACCGGGGCGAAGAAGTGACTTTGACGGCTCTGGTTCCCCCCCCTCCACCCCCGACAGATTTCTGTGTTTGCCGGGGGGTACGTCCGTGTCGGGCGTGGCGAGGCCCCGAGCGCGGCCGGTGCCGTGGGCCGCCCGGCCGAGGAGCCATAGCAACCCGGGCGTCGCCATGGCAACGCATAGCTGAGACAGGTGCAGTTGCATCACAAGGCTGTTTGTTGCCTGGCAAAAGGACAGGCCATTAGGACGCAGCTATACGCTGTTGCCGTGGCAACGGCTAATCCTGCATAGCAACTGCAGTTGGGCTGAAACTTTTTTAAAAATCGGGATATTGTACCCGATTTTGTCTCTCGTTTAGAACAGGAGAATTGGGGGGGATGTCTGCTTTTGTCTTTGTTTTTACTCAAATGAGCTACTGTCAGCCAGCGTCAGGCGATGAAATGGGTATGGCATTTCCTTAAGGAGTGGAGTAGCAGTGGTACACCTGCAGCCCAGGACTCGGCGCAGGAAATAGTAACTTCTGTTTAATGTAGAGCTCTACAAAATATTTTCTGTAGTACCACCTTTATAATGGACTTTTCCATATTTGTTTTTCCCCTGCTCCCAGCAATCCCTCCTCTACTGTGCTTTGCAGAAGGACAGATAAATAGTGTGGATAATTGCATTACAATTGTAATTCGAATGTTTGAGCGGGATTTATTTCCAGAGTCTTACTTTATCATCTACGTTGCATTTCTGTTACTTACGAATCTGCTAATTACGCCCGTACGGATTTGTTCAGAGACTCTCATTTCAAGTAAAAACGTAACGCGCATCTAACGCAGAACTGGGAGGATTTTGATCCCTCCTAATCCCCGCGAAAGAAGAATTGCGGCAGCCTCACGCAGCCCAAAGCACAGCGATCTCCGCGCCTTCGTCCTCGAAGCCAGGGCTCGCTGAATGGGGCCGGTTTGCCAGGACCGCTTGGTGGGTGGCTGGCGAGCGCTGACTGCAGGAGCTCTCAAACAGCCCTTCCCAGTTCGGTTAGGGATCGCTCGGAGGCGTAGTGGCGCCAGTGCAAGCGCTCGCGGCTGAGATGAGCCTGACGGGCGCCCCGAA